GGGCTGCAATCTATGGATGGTCACCTGGGCCGACGTGGCCAGCAGCAAGAAAGATGACCAATCGTCTTTGTGAGTCCTTGACGCTCACCATAGTTCTCAACCGCCAGGGATGCAGATTCATAGCCGGAGACTTCAATCACCTGCTCGAGGACCTTCCAGCGACTGACTTGTGGAGAAGCATGGGCTGGCGAGAGGTGCAGGAACTGAATTGGGAGCTCCATGGTGACCCCATTCAACCCACTTGCAAAGGAGTTACCAGAAAGGATTTTGTTCTTTGTTCCCCAGAGCTTGTGGCACTCTTCCAGAGATCAGAGGTATTGCCTGTTTTTTCAGACCACGCTGCCGTCTGTGGCCACTTTCAGGCCCCTAGCTCCGGAGTGCCCAAATGGATCTGGCCGATGCCAGGCCAACTTGATTGGGACAAAATCCAGGTGGAAGAATGGCGACAAGCCTGTGACCAAACTGAAGTGAAGCTTCAAGAAACTGAGCCCACAAGTAGGTTCCGTGAATGGTCAAAGGCATTCGAAGACAGTTTGAACACATATGTAAACAGTGGTGATGGTAATTTGCCCAGCCAATGGAGAGGCAGAGGACAGCATGTGAAGCCTGTCCAACAACCTAGACAGGCACCCCTGCTGAGGGCGTCCAGACATGGAGATGTGCGGCTCACTTCTGACTTTGTCTCTAGAGGAGTGCAACTTTGGTTCAAACAACTCAGACGGTTGCAAGCGCTCAAGCAGAACCTGCAAAGAAACTCGGATACTGCGCAGTGTGTTTGCTTTAGACTTGAAACCTGGAGTTCCATCTTGAGGGCCAAAGGGTTTCGAGGTGGCTTTGCCTCATGGTGGAGAACACGTCGCATACAGCTACAGGGCTCACCGGTACATCTGGAAAGAGTACTTGTGGCCAAGACAGTGATCGATAGAATCTTTGAAGACTTCATGCAAAACTATAGGCAATTTGAAAGCTGGCACCTGAGACAACAGAGGGAGATTTGCAAAACGAAGATCAGGCAGCATCAGCATCTTGCCTTCAAGCAGATCAGAGATAAACAGAAGGATTACATTGATACGCTGTCAACAGCAGCCACCACCGAAATCATGGCTGTCTCTACTGATGGCAAACAGATCCAGTTGGAGGAGGAGCTCGGAAACACCACTCATGATCATCTATCATGGTGGATCGAAGATATTAATGAGGTGCGGCTCAAGCAACTGGAAGGCACTCTTTACGAGATTGAGGAAGCGGATTGCCTTGTGCTCGAGGGTCAACAAATCACATGCAGAAGTCACTGCGTGCAGGTTCCCACTATTCATAGAGCCCTTGGTGAATTTTGGCAGACTAGGTGGAGCAGACATGCAGACATTCCACATGAAGCCTGGGAACGAATCCTTGCTTTTGGCAAGTCATTCTTGCCGTCTTGCAAACAGAGGTACACTCCCATCAGCCTGACTACCTGGGACAGAGCCAATGCCAGGTATGGGGATCAGTCAGCTCGAGGCCCTGACGGGTATCATCCACGTGAACTTCAGAAGATGCCCAGATCCTTTCGTGAAGCCCTGCTTTCAATTCTGGAACAGGTGGAGGTGGAGGGTCGATGGCCAGCGCAACTCCTGACGGGCTTCACAGCGTGTTTGGCCAAATTGGAGGGGGCTGAGACTGTAGGACAATTTCGTCCTCTTGTGATCTTTTCAGCAATTTATCGATCCTGGTCGACGGCCAAAGCTAGACCCTTGCTGAAATTTCTGGCATCGATAGCTGACGACACTCAGTTTGGTTTTCTTCCAGGCCGTGAGAGCTTGGAGATTTCTTTTCTCCTGCAAGGTCTCATTGAGCTTATGTCACTCACCGAGGGACGAATGACAGGCTTGGTCACTGACATCCAGAAGGCCTTCGAATGCATCCCCCGCCACCCGATGCTTGAGCTTGCACTTCACATTGGAGCACCGGAGCTAATCCTCAATGCTTGGTCCTCATTCCATTCCAGGTTCGGGGTGAGATCAGTGAAGCTCACACTTCAAATGCTGGCGTTCCGGAAGGTTGTGCAATGAGCTGCTTTGCCATGGGGATAGTGGATCTTTGTTATCACTACTACTCTAAGCACTTTGCACCCGAGGTAGTTCCACTGACCTTTGTGGACAACATAGGTGTGTTAGCTGAGCAGGCAAACCAACTCTTGCACGGCACGCTAGTGCTTCAAGAATTCCTGAGTCTCTGGAAGCTAGACATGGATGTGAAGAAGAGCTGGACCTGGTGCACCAACCGAGCTGATGTAAATGAATTGCACACATTGGGCTATGACGTCCGCACAGAAGCAGGTGATTTAGGTGTGCAACACAGTTACACTGGACACAAGAGGGTGGGTGTGCAGCTCCTCAGGCTTCATGCGTTGGAACATCTGTGGGGTAAGCTCAGAAAGCTTGATGCAGACTTGACACTGAAGCAGCACATCTTGGTGACTATGTTCTGGCCCAAGGCTTTTCATGGCATTTCTGTCTGTCTGCTTGGCAAGAACCACATTGATAGCCTGCGCACACAAGCGCTCAAAGCACTGGGTCATGGTCGGGCGGGGGCAGCTCCTTTGATGCGCATGCTCCTGGGCACCTCCTTGCTTTGTGATCCTGGATATTATCAGTTGCAACGAGTCTTGTGTGACTTCCGCAGAATGTCAGACAAACAGGATGAGGTGCTGCACTTGTGGACCTTGCGCTGGAATGCATATACGGGAACTGTCCGTGCCGGACCTTTCTCCAAGCTGCTGGAGGTGCTTGAAGCAATCCAATGGCGCATTCTTGAGCCACCATGGGTACAACCACATGAGGGCTACCCCATTGACCTGCTAGCTGTACCACAAGGAGTTCTTGAAGACTTGCTTACCAGCGCCTGGTCACAAGGGTGAGTCGTCAAGTGGGGCGGCGAAAAGACTTTCGTGGTCTGGTCTGTCTGAACAGGCAAGTTCTTTTGCGAGCTTCTGCGAAGTTAGACCCGCTAGCACGGGCTCAGATTGCCGCCTTGCACGAGGGCGCATTCATGACAGCTAAGCAACAGAGCAAATTTGACACCTTTCAAAGTGGCAACTGTTTACATTGTGGACAACCTGATGATCTTGACCATAGGATCCTTCATTGCCCAGCACTGGCTCAGGCTCGAGAAGGACATGACGAGGCCTTGGCTCACTCCAAGTCGACGTCACAGACTTTTGCCTGAACAATTTCCTCACTGGCATGAATGGCTCCTTGAACTTGGACCTCTGGAACCACCCACATTTCATTTTCAGTTTTGCACACTGAATCAGGAGAACTGGGTTGATCTGTTTACAGATGGCTCCTGCAAGAATCCAAGCATGGTCGAGGGTGCATTGGCTACATGGGCCTGTGTCTCAGCCACGCATGCGTTGTGCTTGGCATCGGGGCCCTTGACGGGGCCAGCACAGACAGTGGACAGAAGTGAAGTTACCGCACTTCTGGCGGCACTGACTTGGGCGGATGAAACCAATACTAAGGTCACCGTTTGGATGGACAGTGGCTACGCAGCCACTGGACTCTGGAGACTGCTGGAAACGCCTGACTTGTTGCCATACAGCTCTAATGAGGATCTCTGGACCTTGTGTCAGGAGCTTGTGAAAAGGGTGGGTGATCGCATCCGAGGACAACACATCAACTCGCATCGCACCGAGGATGATTGCGTGAATGCAGTGGATTCCTGGACCATGTTTTGGAACGAAGCGGCTGACAAAGCTGCTGCCACCGCACACACCATGCATTCCAGAAGAAAGCCGCAGCTATGGACCGCACTATGTGATCATCAGCGTGCTGAGCTTCGTAGACAGGAACAGCTGCAGGCCTTGCATCTGTCCATCGCGGAAGCTCGACGTGTGCTGAGCCAACAAATGGATGAGATAGCCCGCGATGCGGAGGGACCAGCTGATCATGAGCTAGATCAATTGCATCTGGCGAGGGAGGGAGATAGTTCGCTTTTTGAACTTCTGCCAAGCACTTGGCTTGCTGATTCTCAAAGGTCGAATAGTTTTCTTGGTTTTGGCCTCTGGGGTGTTCAATTTGTACAGGCCTTACAAGAGATTGATACCTCCCCTAGAGCACTTTTGGTTTCCTGGTTGGAACTCGCTGTTTGGGCGTGGACACACTTTCGAGGTAGGGTCCCAGTGGCTGGCCCACGTAAGGGACAATGGCTGGACCCGGGGGAAGGCAGCAACCTGCTTGCTGGCGGTCAGACGCTGGCGGCTGTTTTGAGACTTGTTCGGAGCTTAGTTAGGTGTTTGATCTTTGACTGTGGAGCGGATGCTGCCGAATACTCGGGCCTGGACCTATCCATGTGTGGAGTTGCGCCCCCCCCAGAGGGGGATTTGTTTGAGGTGGACGCCAGGTCGAATCCATGATGTTCGTCTTGCTTTGACTGAGTTTTGTGGTAGGCGTAGGGTTCGAACCGTTAACGACCTGGCGAGACCACTACGTAGAGTGGAGACCTGAAACCTGCGCTACGGCGCCACGGACTGCTGCGGACTGCTCACCGCGAGGGTGCTGTGGGCGCGCAGCGAGCGCAAGTGAGAGTGATTACCCCGCGGAAAACTAGCCTGCACCCTAAAAACCACTGGCTTGTAGAGGACAACAGCCTTTCCGGGTCCCATTCTCAGGGTCCACATTAGTCTTCGGAAGTGCATGTTATGTTTGTGTGCTCCTCCCGTGCTCTCCTTCAGTCACCCGTGTTGTTCAACGTTTGCTATTCACCAGGCCTTGGAGCATCTTGGAGCAGATATGTGTAGTTGAACCATGTTGGAGTGTTGCCCCGTTCCCCCGCACTTACAGCCACAGACAGTGCAGATTAAGAAGTGCTTGTTTGCAAAGATGGAGGAATAGCAGATTGTTATATAGAAATGGCTACGAGTGCCAGGAGCGGGAGCCAGTCATCAACACGTAATTTTGAATCAAGGCCCGCTTAGACATATGGAAGTGCGACCGGTAAATTAGTGCTTGACAGCCCAGGAAAGACACGTTGGAAGCAGCTCAAAACGATGCTGAGAAGCTTGGCGGCATTGTTCCTTTTTGCAGCATCGATGTTCGCAAATACTATTCATTCATTTTTCCTGGCGTCACCATGAAAAGAAGCGAATCTGCCAGGCAGCTGGTCGCTGACAAGATCGCCATCCGAAATAAACTGATTGCTCGACTAGCCCCTCGGACCAGGTTGGTGGTTGCCCATGCTAGAAGTGTATCCATAAAACTTTGGGAGTGGAATTGTGTCAAGGCGAAAACTGCAAGAGCTGAGTGTTTTGCTGTGATGATTGTACGACTGTCGCTCAAGATGGGCTCTATATGCGGACAACTGCGGAAACCACTCAAAGTACAGGCGTCACCGTTGTCCATTACACGGAGTGGTTCAGGAGTCGTTTTGATTGGTTGATGGCTGTGGACCCATTGGCCCATGCTGACTTCGGGCCCGAGCTCGCTAGCACGCTAGCTCGCTTCGCGCCTCAGGAAGGCATTTTCAATGTCATGGATCGAGAAGAAAGTGGCAGCTTGTCTCATGAGGTGTCACATGACTCGCACGCCGTAGAAAGCACGTATTTTTTTGGGTTCACAGGGTCACACAGTGTCAAGATCCTGAGGTGTCCTCAGTGGGTCACACAGTGTTTATTCAGACGAAACGAAGGTGGGAAGATGTGGAAGGAACCTGGGAAACCGATGTGGAGGCTGCTGTGCGCCCTGGGTTACCGGTGTCGGCCGTTGGGTGAGATGGGTAAATATGGGGAAAGAAAATTCAGCAGACGTGCCGATCCATACCTTTGGCGTGTTTGGAACTCCAGGATCAGTTACGGAATGGAATGAGTGAACTGACGGAAGAGTGCCATCAGACCCTGGGAAATTCCGGGAAGCTAATACCTGGATCTTCGATACGGTATACTGTGGCTAAGTATTTGCTCTCGTCACTCTCGTCTTCATATAACAAAGTCGTTACAGCGGTCTTTCCCCAAAGACGGCCTTTATTTTGGCTGTGACCACGCGGTAGCCGGCGCAAACCAAACGGCATCGTTTCATTGAAAAATGCCTCCAGCCTCCAGCAAACATTTGTGTTTCTACCGGTTGCATTATATAACTTAATCAGTTTTGGGACCTTTGACAAAGACCATCCAGTGTCAGAAACTTGAGTTGATCCTGCATGGTGGCAGTGTGAATGGGAGAGATCTAAAGAGCACTCCACTCACAGATGTTTCGCATTGTGTTTCCGTCAACCTGCCGGAGCCTTTCTAAATCACATCTTTTGAGGCATGATTACTGAAGAGAGGCGAGGCATTTGGGCGTAGTTGGCACAAGCGGTGCAGCCTTCTTTGGCTTGTCGAAACAGTGGGACTTTTGGCAAGTTGCCTCTTCCCAGCCAAGGGATCAACTTCCGCTTTCTTTTGCCCCGTCATTCTCCCACCAAAGAAATCCTAAATGCAAAAAGCGGCTCATGTTGTGGGAGCTCTTCGGGTTCAAGATGATTCAAGAACCTGCTGTCCAGAGCCACAATTCAAGGGTGTACCGATGACGCACAGTGGCTCGCCTGGGAATACTTGGGCCATCTTGGATCTGGGGCCATGACTGTTAACGCCTTGTTTGGATTCTAACGGCCCATGGTGGTTATTTTACTGTAAGAGTTTATGGTAGGATAATGGTGAAAGCACCAAGAACAATGGCGCGTACGATCGATCACGAACGATCCGCCGCCACGTTTCTGGCACTTGAGCGAAAAAGGCAGCTGTTGCCTTAGGTATGTCAGTGAACCTGAATGCACATCGAAATGCGACGCTTCTCGTGTTGTGTGTGTCATCTTTCAACCTTGCACGGTGTGTACTTCAGCATGTCCGTGCGCAAGTTCACGCACTCTCTGTTGTTGTGGATCACTCCACCCCAGCAGTTGGTCCAGATGTTGCGTCGGGTGGACCTGCCCGTCGTCCGTGTGCATGTGCTGCACCAGATCGCTGTGCTTCCTTCTTGGCTTGATGAGGTAGTCACAGGTCGGTGAGCATCTCCTCGTGCCACATCTCAATGCTTTGCCACATCTCGTCGTGTACACCGGTGGATCTTGGTCTTCGTAGTTCACCGGTGCTGGACCACCCTGCTTGGGTGCTGGCCTAGGTTCAGCCTTTGGCGCCTGGGTTGGTGGCGCCGCCTTGGACTTTTCTTTTGGTTGAACTCCTTCCAGTTGTGTCGAACTGGAAGCTTGAGGGTGTGTCCCCTCTTCTTCTTCTTTTCTTTTTGGCGTTGATAGCCATTCTCTGGCTGGCATTGGTGGGATGCTCCAACTCGGAGGCTGACCCCAATCCAGTGGCCCTTGAACTGGCCATCCATTGATCATCACCATTTGGTAACCACCAGCCTTTGGCAGTTGAGCGAAGTCTACAATTGGTGGTGTCAATGGGATTTCTTCTGGAAGTCCCTGAGGTCTTGGGACATATGGTGTTCTTGGTCCTTCTTCACTTTGAGTCCTTTGGACGTTTGGTGTCCTTGGACCTTCTTCACTTCTTCCTTCTTCTCTCAACCTGAGTCCTTTGACTTTTCCTGGTGATCCTGGGGCGGTGGGAAGACTTCCCATGCCTGTGGATCTTTCGCTTCTTCTTCGAGAAGGGCACCTCGGGCATGGTACTCCTTCCTTCACCAGCCACCAGAACACCGAAGTGAGGGCAATGACGGCTATGGTCCATGGTATACATCATCATCATAGCTTCGAAGGACCATCCTGGGCCTTGATTTTCATCATTTTCTCCCTGCGCTTGAGACATGGTGAGGGAGGCTGCAATGACCAGCATGAGTAGCACGGTAGCAGCTTTTTCTCTCGTCGCCAGGTCCTCCTCATTTTTTCTTTCCTTTTGGTCTTCATTTTTTGTCTCTCCTTTTTTCTCTTCTTTCCTTTCTTCATTCTTTCTGGGTGCTGACATCATCATCTTTGAATCTTTGACTTTAGATCTTCCATCCGTGGGGAGGTCAAAGCCTTGGTGCCAATGTCTGCCAGCATGTTCACACCTGGTGTGTGAGGAATGGCCCATTCTCCCTCTTGGATGAGCTGTCTTGCGAATGCAGCTCGCAATCTGAGATGTCTCGTCCTCCAATTTCCTCCTTCCGAAGTCAGGATTGCAAGGCCCGATTGGCTGTCAGTCCAGGACATGCGAGCGACTCTTCCGCACAGCTCGTCGATGATCACTGCCACCGACTCTCCGGCAGTCATGCCTTCCACCACTTCATTCAGTTCGGCCTCTGCGGTCGAATCGAAAGGGTCATGGTGCTCATCTTGCCGGAGCGCCAGAAGATGGGATGTCCTCCCAACATCACCAGGCAACACCCGTGAGACTCCTCGGCATTTGGTGCGTATGATGCGTCCGTGTAGACGTTGATCACCAAATCCTGGTCTTCTGGAACCTGGTACTTCAGGCCGAGGTCCTTCGTGTTCATGAGGTATCCCTTGGCCTGTCTTCCAGCTTCCAAGACTGCACGGGGTTTCTTCAAGACATTGGACCCCATTCGAGCCACTGCATACATCATGTCTGGTCTAGTCCTTGTGACTAGCCACAACAATTCTCCCACGACTTTCTGGGCTGATCTGACATCCGCTTGAGAGGGCGGATCTTCATCAGCTTCCATGTTCGCTTGATCCTTGGTGATCGGGATCTTGCGTGGATTGATCTTCTCTTCTTCACTTCCTAGGAGGTCTTCCACATAGGATGCCTGAGAGATCAACCAGGCATAGCGGCCATGTTCTTCTTCCCACTCACGTGACACCTCCATTCCCAAGAACTTGATGGGAACTTCTGTGACTTCTTGTGGTGAAGATGTCGACCACTTCTCTTGGATCTTCTCTTGTATGGCCTTTCGGATGGCCATTGGGGCTGTGATGAACAGATCATCCACGTAGGTCATGACCAGTCCCCACACCTTCATCATCTTCTTTCACCACTCGCCATAGGTTGGGTTCTGAGTCCAACGCCGTGAGGCGAAATCTTTCTTTCTTCATTTCACCTCCTTCTTCTTGGCAGTCTGCTTCGATCTCGAAGTTCCTCAGGGCTTCATCGCGGTGATCTCCTGAGTCCATAGACTGCCTTTTGAGGTAGGTAGTTAGTAGGTGTCACGCTGCATGAATCCTCTCTCAACGAAGAAGGTGGGCAGCAAGACCAACATGAGGTGTTCATCCTCCCGGAAGTTCATCTCAGCATTCAGGAAGGCAGTTTTGACATCCAAACTGGATCCTTCCCATTGAAAGCGTGCTGCCAGTCATGATTCTGAATGCCGACCGCCGGAGTAGTTGGATTCATCCGGCTGCTTGGTTTCGAAGTTTCCACAGATGACCCATCGAACCTTTCTTTTTCCTCCCTTTTTTCCTGGTTTCTTGGCAAATACCAGTTTGGAAGGGATCAGTTCAACCTCCAGTCCTCGCTTTTTCGCCTGGTCGATGAAGTCACGGACCTGGTCAGCAGTAAGCGGGACCATAGCATTCTTTTCAACCAGCAGGCTGTTGACTTCATCTTCGGCCGATGGCTTCCATTTGAGCCATTCTCGTGCCACCTCTTTTGGTGAAATTATCTTTGTTTGGAGAATCTCCTCCTCTTCTTCATTCACTCCTTCCTCGATGAACTTCTTCATCCGGCCAACGAGGAGGATTGAGCACACGGCCAATTCTGGGTCGTCTTCGGGAATCTTCATCATTTCGTCCTCCAACAACCTTTTGACCTTGGCCCTTTCTTTCTTCTTTTGATCTTCTTCTTCTTGCTTCCATAGCCCTTGAATCACCTTGATGGTGGTTTTCTGCCTCAACCTTCGTCTCAAGGTCAGTCCATCGAGAAGATCTCGTTCTAGGGCTATCCGATAAGCTTCTGATGGCTTCTCGTCCAACTTCTTCATAATGCACCTGGTTAGACGAGGCGCTTCACCTTCTTTGACGATCCAGTGCCCGTGGTTTTCCACCGATGGAGCAAGGTACTTCACCTCTTCCACTGTGGGGCCAAGATCTTCCTTCTGCCATCTTCTTTTCCTGACCATGACACTTTCCATAAACGTTGGAAAGCTGGGAGTCTCGTAGATTCGATGGCATCGCAAGACCTCATTGACATATCTCGCTGCCCAGGGCCACCACTTTGCATCTTTTCCTCCGTGGTGAAGGGCTTTTCGGATCATCGTCTTGGTCTTTTTGACCGTGGCTTCAGCTCTGCCGTTTGACTGGGGTTCGTCTCCTGCTGTTTTGGTCAACAGGATTCCCCTCTTTCTGCACCAAGCTGCAAAATTGCCTGCGAACTCGTGGCCTTGATCTGCATGGATGTGGTTTACGGTGTACCCATCCATCCTCAGTCGGAGAACCATTTCCATGGCCGTTTTGGTGACCTCTAATGATTTCTTCGAAAGCATCGGCAGAGCGAGGTGGAAGGTCTTGATCTCAAAGTCATCAGGAGGCTCGGAACTTGCCTCCTTAGGAGGGTCGCCAACTCCCCATGGGACCAGATCTTCTCCGTTGTATTCCAACGGCCTTCCCTCTCTTTCTTCTGCATCGGAGATGGTCTCCTTCTGGGCTTCTTGCTTTTCCTCTTCACCTTCAATCTCATCTTCTCTTTCGTTTTTCTTCTGGTTCAACTTCTCCTTCGTTCTTTTCTGCTTCAATCTGGGGATATTCTTCTTCCAGTCCTTCTTCTTCTTTTTCTTCCTTTTCTTCCCCAGACCTTTTGGAGTCCTTTGGAATGGCCCAAGTGAACGCTCCAGCCAAAAAATACCTGGACATATGGCCACCTTGGTCAAAAGCGGGAGTCAATGGTCCAGCTGTGTCCAGTGACAGAACGCCTGCTACTAGGTTTGGAACTCTTCTGTGTGGATTACACTGCTGCAATCTGCTGCATGTTCTCCTGACATGTTTTGCAGTCTCTTCGTGATGGTGTGTGGCCGAATGCCAAGTGCTCTTCCCATGATAGGGCCTTTGTCTTTGGTCCTTGATGGAAGACTTGGTAAAGAAGGGCTCGTGCCACCATATTCATGAGTCCAGGCGGCCACCTTGCAAGTTGCCACGAATGCTCCACTCGACGGTCATCCAAAGACTTCAATGCAAAGTCCTCGGGGGGCAGTTCCAGGTTTCCCCCGAAGGTAGTGGGCTTTGTGGCTGCTCCTCCAAGTGGTCGCTGGGAGAAGGTTGTTTCCTTCCATCCAAGTTCTTTCTTTTAGGCTTGCCCATTGTGTGGTGTCCCATAGTGACACAACTTCAGGTTTGTACTCCTTGGGCGATGCGGGTTGCTCCAAGCTGAAGATGAAGGGATCTGGCTCCTTGCGAGCTTGTCGGAGGTAGGTTCCGACGATGCCCAAGAAAATCATCCTCCACATCAGAACATCATCCTCCCACAACTTTTTCTTTTCCTCCTCCGTGGCATCTTGAATGCCGAACTCTTCACCGTCCCATCGCCGGATTGGTCTGGGGGGTTCAACACCAGGGACTGATCTTGTGCGGCAATTGGGTCCTCCGACCAGGCCCTTGGCTTGGCCTGTCAGCACTGCTGCCAACAGTGCTCCATAGACTCCTCCGGGCTTCAGCATATCGTGATCTTGACCTCTGTTCAGGTCGACTTCCAAGAGATCGGCTTCTCTTCCCCCGATCTGTTGCCATGCGCGTCCAAGAGTGAAACCTTCATCTGGACCGGAGTACAGGTGGATGACAAATCCATGTTTCTTCATCTTCTTCCGCTTCCTTCGGTTGGCCGGAAGTTGACTCCCTTCTCCTGGCTGCACAACAAGCTCCTGCTTGATCTCCTCTGGGAGAGATGATAGCACAGGGTGAGATGCAACCAGATCTTTCATCCACTTAACTTCTTCTTCAAACTTCTCAACTTCCTTGAACCTCTCAATCTTCTCAACTTCCCTTTTTTACCTGCTCCAACTCATCGATCAATTGGAGGGCCAACTTCTTCGGGACCTGTGGGCAGCCGTCACAGTCTTGTACTGGAAGAAGTCCATGGGTGGGGTGTACAACCTCCAATTTCCCTCTGGTCCATGTGACCTGACAGTTGAGCTATGTTGAGCTGCTTCGTCAAGAGTCCCATGGGGATGATCGGCTCGATATCTTGGTCTTCTGAGAGCATGACTCCCCCTGGAGTGATCGGGAGCCAGGTTGTCTGGCCATCTGCTAGGGCCACTTGAACCTTCTCATACAGGTCTTTCTTTTCGCCCCTTTTGATTGGGCGAAGTGGATGGATGGCTCCACTGTCCAGCAAGCCAGCCCTTTCTCCCTTTTTCAACCTCATCAACTGGAAGGCCTTTTGACGCAACGAATTGAGCATCTTGTCTCTCCATGACTTCTTGTCTTTCGTCTCCTTCTTGTGCTGTCGGAGACGAGGTCGAGGACGAGGGAGATGAGTTCAGCGACTTGAGCATCTTATTGGCTTCTTCCAACAGATCTTTCACACTGGGCTGGACTGATCCTCCACCTTCCTCTTCTTCTTTTACCTAATCTTTCCCTTCTTTCCCCTTCTCAACCTTGGACATCTTCGGCTTTGAGGGGTCTTTGACTTCCTTGGGACGAGTGCAAGCTGGTGACATGTGGTCTGGGCTTCCACAGTTCCAGCATCTCTTCTTTTCGTCTTTTTGATCGTGCGAGTAGGTGCACGTCTTTCCTCTTCGGCATCCCGCCTCTGAGAGATAGAAGCGGCATCTTCCTTTTTCTTTGGCTTCTGCTTCTTTTTCTTCCTTGTTTCTCGCCTCTTTAGATGCTGTTCAACTTCTTGATCTTTGGAGGCTCTTGAGGAAGGTCTTTCTTTCTGGCCTGATGCCCCATGGTTCCAGCTCGGCTAGAAGGTGCAGCGAGTACTTGGTGACGGAGTCCTGACTGGGCACGGTGTCCACCATCAGTTGATTCCTGGTCAACTGCAACCTGAAGTTCAAGTCGGCATAGGTCGCACTCAACTTCTTCATGAGCTTTCCCAGGCCTTTTACAAGTATTGTGGCATCTGGGATTGACACTCCCAGCTCCTCTGCCCTCCTCTTCCATCGAAGCCAGCGGCGAAGAGTGGTGACACCACCTGCAATGCTCTGAGCTTCTTGGGGACTTTCCAAGGCAGCTAGAATGGCTGATTTCTCGGCCAAGCCACCGGGTTGATATTGTGTCATGCCCTTGGTAAGGATACCGAGCGTGGTCAATGACCTTGAAGATACAACTTCTTCTCTCAGGCCGTCGGGGATGGCGGCTAAGAGCAAGGACGATGCTCGACGTTCCAACCTTGCCCACTTCTTTTGCTGGAGAAGTGGTGGTGCAACTGGATGATGTTGGAGTCGTTCCAGAGGGGTCTTGTTCATGTGGGAGTCATACCAGGACCGAGCTGCCACCATTCTTCTGAGGTGCTGCTAAGGTCACCCATGAGTGGTTGGATGACCAAAAGCCAATCAGAAAAATCGATTGGTCCTGTCTCTGGTGACCATTCTGGGAGCCTTGGAAGTTCAACTCCCCTTCGAATTGAACCAACTCTGGTTGTCCTCCTCCTTCATCTCCATCTCCCGTTTGGTTTCCTTTCACCAACTTTTGGATGTCCTGCATCCCTTGGAGGAGCTTCAAAATGACATCGACAGTTTGGGGAGGTAGACCATCATTGGCTTGGGTCTCTTTCTTTTTTCCCCCTGTTCCTTTCCCTGTCGTGCCTCCTTCAGCTCCTCCTTCTTCATGGTGTCCTCGCTGTTCTTCTGCCTTGCGAGCTTCATCATCTAAGCCTGAACTGCCGACCGGTGTTGCAAAGAGGCCTTCTTCTTGTTTTGACTCCTGCTGAAAGGCGAGATGTTCAATTTGACCCTTCAGCCGGCGATTTTTATCCATGATCGCCTGGAATTGGAGACTTGCCAACGCTTCCTTTTCTTCCTTCCTTCGTTCTGCAGCATACGAACCGAGAGCTTGATTCTTCAGCTGCTGGTTCTCCCTCATCAGGTACTGCAGTTGAAGGGTCAGTTCATCCCTTTCGGCCCGATCGAGCCTCATCCTTTCTTCCAGGCCCTTCAGCTCTTCTTCTCTTTGTTCTTCCAGCCTCAACCTTCTTACACCTTCTCTTTCATCTTTCTTCAAGAACGGTGGGCGTTCGACAGGCCGAGCGACGGACTGAGGTGTCTGGAAGCTTGGATAGAGGAGTGGGGCTTGTTGGTACATAGAATGCAAATCATGAATTTGCTCTCGCGAGAAAAGTGGCAGTGCTTCTTCAGGAGGTGTGGCCATGGAGACCATGAACGGCTCACGTTGTCCGTCCACCGGTCCTTCTTCTGACCTTTTGCCTCCCTTCCCACCACCCATAACTTCCTTCTTCGATTTGGTCTTCTGGAGTCTTCACCTCTTCACTTTCTTCTTCAACGGCCTTTCCATCTTCCACCGGTTGAGGTCTTGGCGGTGTCCTTGATGAAGCGGCCTTCAACGGAGTCCTTGCGCTTGGTTGTGGGGTCTTGGCTGTTGAGGATTCAGACACTCGAGTCCTGCTGTCATCAGGGGCTCCTGGAGCGGCGGTGGATGGAGTCTCTTGGGGCCTTTTTCCCTTTTCGGACCCTACCCTTCTTCCACTTCTCCCTCTTTCTGGTCTTCTAGGGGAGTTCATCACCCTCCAACCTCTGCCTTTCTAGCCTTCGATGTGCTGCTTCCATTTCTTTTTGGCCTCTTTCCAGCTCTTCCTTCGTGGCTTTTCGCCTGCGTTGCTGGATCATGAGCGGCCTTAGTCACACACCCAAGATCCTTCAGCGAGACCTTGGGCTCATAACCTGGTGAAAGCACCAAGAACAATGGCTCGTACGATCGATCACGAACGATCCGCCGCCACCACGTTTCTGGCACTTGAGCGAAAAAGGCAGCTGTTGCCTTAGGTATGTCAGTGAACCTGAATGCACATCGAAATGCGACACTTCTCGTTTTGTGCGTGTCATCTTTCAACCTTCAACTCTTTCTACAGATAAAATCCATTACAGTAACATGCATTTTAACGCAATGTAGTATACTACTCATAATTTTATTTAAGACAAGCTTCATGAGGTGCATAAGCTGTATTGCATGTCAAGTTCAATAATTATTCTTCCAAGTAAACCGCCAGTAGTAGTGACCGTGTATGGCATGTTTTTCCTTGCTGTCGGGGGGTTCTAGTGGTGAGAGTAGCGGTGAGTCAGCTCCCTTTCGGACTTTCGATGTCCAGGTTGTCCAAGGTCTTGGCGAATCCCAAAGCCGCGGCCTACTTCCAAACCTTGGATTTGGACGTGCATGAAGGACCGGAAACCATTCGCTCGAAAGAGCGACGCGGACGAATCGGATCTCAATGAAAGCGGCGGCAAAGTCGCATTGCAGTAGCACGCTGGGTCACTCTCAATCACCACCAGCCTCTACAGCGTCTAAGCATCAAAGATCGCGATCGATCACCCAGCCCCTCAAAATTTTCTTTTTGTAGGATATTGTGGGGAATCCTTCTTGGGCAATTATATATTTCTTGCAATGTTGAGGTAAAGTAGCAATGACAGGCTGAAAACGTTTTTCTTTCTGATTCGTGTCAGAGGGCCCAGCTTGATCATGATGATGACCTTGCCATCCGAAAAGCCCATTCCCTACTGCATTGCGCGATGCAGCTACCTACAACTATCGTGAATCCTCTCATGACGATGTATAACCTACCTCCGCATGCTGATTTTTTATAGTTGGGACATATTGACAGACGAAGGCTTGAAGAGAGGTCTTGATTTATGTGACAAACTTGATCACGGGCACATAGTGCCGCCTTGTCGGACTTACACAAGGCCGCACAAGGCAGGAATTTCTGACGAGCATGGAAGAGTCACAGTGCTAAGATCAGACAAATATCCGAGAGAGACGCAGGCTGGAGAGACGCAGACAGAGGCCGAAGAAGCAAATCAAGATTGTTGAGAGGATGCATTACAGTGCCTATTGATTCCGCAAACTGAAGCCAACACAGCAGCGGCGCAAGCATTCAGAATTGAAGGTGTCGTGATGGAAGACCGCCTGGATCAGAAGCAAAGCTCACAAGGATTGGCTGCATAGTTAAACTGCGAAAAGATAGACACATAAATACTTTATTTGTATATATATATATATCCCGGTCTATATAATATTTGATGGGGAGGGACAGTGCGCCGCCTGAGAGAGAGAGAGAGTGGCTGCGTGGCTCAAGATTTCGGCTCAAACTGTCTCACGCTTTGTTGGTGGAGCCCGAGATCTCCCAGGGCACTGGTGCTTCAACCTTGCCGAGCCCTTTGGTGTGACCTACCAAGAGGGCACCGGCACCTTTGCTAGTTACCGAGATTGTCGAGGGGGACGGGATGGTTTCTATGGCCTGGGGTGGCTATGCCAAGGACTTTCTGCTGTGGCTCAAACTCGACAGGGTGAGTTCCAAGAGGTGAGGGTGCAACAAGTGCGGCACACCTTGGCCGACGCAGACGGCCCTCAAGACTACCCATCCAAAAGGGCTCATCGTCGACCTCGAGGAAGGGATCGAGGACAGATTGACCCGCCACCAGGACGTTGAAGCAGTGGTGACACCGACCAAGCCGGCAGAGGTGGACCTGACAGGTCAACTCAAGGCCACTGTGGGAGAACTTCGTCAGCTGTCACACCGCAAGCAGACCTTACAGAAAAAGGTCAACCAGGCCAAGGACCACTACAAGATTTTGTTGGATGAGCTGAAAAACGGTGCAGGAATCAATTGACACAGAACACACGCAACTTGGAGACCAATCAGCTGAATATGAAGCAGCTGAAAGAGAAGGCGATCCCACCGTCACAGGCTCCGGAGCATGTCTTGACCCCAGGTCACGGAGTTGAAGGCCATGGGGCAAGCTGGCATCATCTTCAACAGTGATCAGCAGAAAGAGACATTGGCTGAGCGCCGCAAGATGGCAGAAGATACCCCCAAGAGTGGGTAGCACTCTGCAGCTGCTTCTGGGAGGAGTTGAAAAAGTGAGCAGTCCTTTCACAGTGAAGAGGTCCTGTTGGAACAGACAGAGGGACCAATCAAACAAATTGGAATTTTTTGACTGTGGAGATCTTGTGATGTCTTTTTAGTGGCCCGGAGAAGGGCTCTGCAAAAGTTGAGTTTGAGCATCAGGGTGAATTTGACGAAGGGCCTCCAGTTGAGATCTTTGACAATGTGAACTGTGCGTGGCTTCAAGGAACGCAGCCGTATGTTGGGGGAGAACGTCAATATGCATCACCATTTCCCTCGCAAGTAATTAAGGGTTGATGCAACTCTTGCCAATTTGTAGAACCTACTGCGGTGATGGCGGGTGATCTGGACACTCGTTGGCCTGCTGGGTGTGGGCAGACTATGGATGATGGTGAGGATGTCAGCATGATCAATGGATGCAACTGTGACCAGGCACCGGCAGCTCCAGGGCGAGACTGCTACTTTCGGGACCTGGGCAGCAAAGCATCCTTCTGGTCAGCTGACTTTGTTGGGAGGAGGCAAAAGGCCTGCGGAAGATGTCAAACCATTGATGGCCAAGATCCATACACCGGGAGAGTTGATTGATGCACTTGCTCCCTCTGTGGCCAGGTTCTTGCAGTAGCTGATGCCACGGACTTCAATACGCTCAAAGCCAGCCGAGTTAGTGCAACATGTGCGTATTCATCTTCACCGCGCTGATGTTGAGGCCGGCGTGCCTAGTGGCTATGAGAGGGGCATTCCCGGTGATGCAGAACCCTGGCAATCGATGTTTCGCCAACTGTGTACTCAGGGTCTGGAGCTGGCTTGGTGCCTTCCATGCTGAACCAGGTCCCTTTTGGAAACACAGGCTATCAAACTGGTTCATCAGTTGCTTCAGCAGTCGGAGATTGAAGATATATATATATATATAGTTAGCGTCCGAGTTTGGGCCCTTGCTTGACATGATGGAAAGGCCAGCAAGATGCCTCGAGTTCCTGGGTAAAGTTGCGCAAGGGTGGAGTGCCACAAGCGCATTAAGGCCCGCTCCATTCATGATGAGATTGGCCGCGAATCTCAGGAGAGGTGTGCCGGCAAGCCAGAGGTCAAGTTGAAGGCCCTGATGGAAGAAGTGGTCAATGACAAGGACCTTGAGGGTGGCCATGCTTGGAAGTTGACAGCGAGTCACATCAAGTGCGGCAACTGCTGGTTGAAACTCAGCAAGAAGTGCAGCAAAGAAGCTAGCATTGCAGAGCACGCCACGCCGGCATCATGGCCCCTTTGAGCCATGTGAGGACTTCAAGGAAGGGGGCAAACCTCATCCGTCCCACCAGTCGGCCCAGCGAGGCTCACAGGTGGAGTGTGGCCGATGCAAGAAGCATTCGCGTTTGGAGGAACGGCTGGCCTCGCTTGCGGTGGTTTGCAGCCCACCTGGAGCGCAACGCAAGCTGCGCTTTGGCATCTCGAGCAGCCCTTGAGATGGGCCTTGCGGTGGCGGTGGGAGCGCCACTTTTGGCCAGAGGCCGTGGCTGGAGCAATGACTCCTCGTTGAAGAGAGAAAACAAAAAGAAAGAGAGAGAGAGAGAGAGAGAGAACCCGTCCACGTGTTTCAGATGTGGCGCACGGATTCCTACAGCTGGTGGGCAGCAACAGTCAATGGTTTCGGAGTAGTGCATTGAACTGATAGGTCTAGACTAATCAGAGGTATATATTATTTTGTCAGTACCTGCGCTGTCTTCGGCGTAGCAACAGTGTGGTCCCGTGTTGCAGCGACAGCTATGCTGCCTGGTCAGGCCACCATGAAAAGTTTTGAAGCAGATGTCTATTGCTACATGGATGATCCACTGTCAGTCTTTGGTTTTGGCGCTTTCGAAAAGAAGGACATTCCAAACACCCGCTTTGTTACACAGGGCTGTGGCGGAGCTTGGGATTGAATGCGTCATGGAAGTAGCAGCAAGAGGTCAAGATCTACAATGGGTTGGGTTTCAATGCGCAGTGATGGGTCCAGACAGTTGAAGCCATGACTCATGACAGGTCTCGAATGGCTTGAGCAATGCCGGGAGTCATACCGCTGCATTTGATCAAGTTATATGATTCGTCGGGGTGTCCTAGTGGTTGCTTAGAGCGACCCCAGCAGTGCGACCTTGGATGTCGATGGTTTGGGCTGCACGAACATCGGAGAACCCGACCTCGAAAAGAGTTGATTTTTGTGCAGCAGGTGGCCAACGCGCTCCAGTGGTTGAAGCCTTTATTATCGCGAGACCGGGAGTTTGGACTCTGCAAAGTCCACAGATGGCTGCCAAACGGCGTTGCAGTGCTGATTCAACCTGGATGATTGGCGGCGCACGCGACGCTTAATGTTACGCTGTTGTATCTGGTTTGTTGCACACCGTGTGGCCAAATGGCGTTTGTCATGTTGCTGTGCCACGCGGTTTTGTTTTGCGTGGCCTCTGTGGAAAGTGCGTTTGTTTTGACGGATGTAGGAATATAGTTGAACACTTTTTTGTTGCAATTGTACATATAGGTGTGGTTTTCTAGACCTGCTGCTACAACGGAGGTGGTGAAACCACTTACTAGAAATGCTTTGTTGCTGCGATCTTGCTTCGGTGCGTTGCTCTGGTACTGAAATCTCGCTTCGGTTACTCTTGCTGGTTTCTTGCTTCAGCAAACATGTCTGCAAGTCAAAACAAACGGTCGTTTGAGTCACCCTTCTTTTCTACATACTCTTTCCTTCCACTCTCCCGGGCCACAGGTCGCTTAGTTTTTACGATTTACCATCAGGACCCTCTTTATAGGTCTCTTGCTACATGCCACGCCTGTTCGAAGACACGAACCTCCTCACCCCTCCGCTTCTCAATCTCAATTGGCGAATTCTGCATCCGCCCTCGATCTGACGCAGAGTTTTTGTCATCGCTCCAGGACGAGCACTTTTCAACCTCTTGGACAACGGGGATGGTGAGGCCGGAGGTGTCAGGACTCGACACCTGTCATGCATGCTTGTGAAACACCCCAAAGGAAAGTATATAACTACTTCTTAGGCGCCCCGTATTACGCCCCGTATGTAAAGGACAATGGTATAAGCAACAGAATGTACACAAAGAAACTGGAGACTCGTGGAACGTGTGGGGGCATAGCATCCGCCACCCAACAGGTCACTCAAGAGGAGTTCATAAGTGGCATTCTCCGGTGCAAAGGGCAAGCGCGTGCCATTGAACAAGTGGCCATGCATTCAGAGACTCCTCTGCAGTTATGTCCTCCACGATTAGGCAGACTAGAATGGATTCAGGAACGTGGGGTTTGTTTGCAATTGCTCAAGCAATTGTTCAAACAAGCATCAAATCACCAAACAAACTAAAAATTATCCTCCCTAAACAGTGTGTGTGTGTGTGAAGTCTAGAGGTGTTGTAGCAGAAAGTCTAGAGGTCTAGACGCATTGGGGTCCAGAGAGGTGATGGCGGCGATGAAGGTGGAGATTGTGACGATGGTGGCGGGGGTGGTGAGTGAGTGTGAGCGTGAGTGAGTGTGGGTGACAGCGAGTGAGAGTGTGAGTGGGAGAGTGAGTGAGTGTGAGAGTGAGTGAGTGAGTGAGAGTGAGAGTGAGAGTGCAAGTGAGAGTGAGAGTGAGTGAGTGAGTGAGTGAGAGAGTGTGAGCGCGCGCCACGAAATCTGCACTATAGATTCACCAATTAAGTGCTGTGATCTGCACTTCGAGGTTCACAAAGTGCTGTGCTTGCCACGAAATCTGCACTTCCAGGTTCACAAAGCGCTGTGCCTGCCACGAAATCTGCACTTCGAGGTTCACAAAGTGCTGCGCCTGCCACGAAATCTGCATTTCGAGGTTCAGAAACTCTGCGCCTGCCACGAAATCTGCATTTCGAGGTTCAGAAAGTCTGCGCCTGCCATGAAATCTGTTTGCAAGTGATGCGCCTGCCACGAAATCTCCAAACAAACCACATGTCCAAAAGCTACGATTCACTGCACCTGTCTCAAAATCAGAGCGCCTCGAAGATCACCACCATATCGTCCAAAGTGCTGCAACTGCCACGAAATCTGCGCTTCGAAGCAAAAACGCTCCGATCCCTTAGCGCCTGTCACGACATGTCTATATTTGGACCACCAAAAACGAGATTTCCCTAGCGCCTGCCACGAAAAGTGACCACCATGTGCGAAGATGCGCGCGGCACCACAACGAGAGCGCAGTCGCGACAAGCGCCCGCCGCGGCCACCCAGTCTTCGCGAGCCTGCGCAGTCGAAATGCACGTCGACGATTTCGAGAGGAATGCACTGTAAATAGCAGCGAATTTGCCGGACACGACCGCGCCGTCACCTCGATCTAACGCCGGTGCTTAACACTTACCTTAAGAACCCCTAGTGTGTCCACACTGTTTGGGCAAAAAAATCGGAAGGCGCCTGCAGAGATTATCGAACCAGACCTGGTAAAATGTTCCTGTTATTTGAAAAACTGATGGCTTCTTACAATTTTGAAAACTTGCTGATAATCTGTTGCTTTCTGCAGCAACTATGAAGTCAGATCAGTCAGGGAATGTTTTTCTTTGCGTTTTTTCAACAATCAAGGGTTTTGCGCGTGATCTTAAGAAATGCAACATGTTTCCGTGTTCAAGCAGTAAAACAAACTGCGGTGACTATAAGACCATATTTGGAAACGTGTTCTTTGTTGAAGACTCATGTCTTGACATGTTGCCCAAAACGTTGAAAAACACCCTTGTCCAAGAATAGCAGGCAGAGACTCTGGTGCAATTGTGTTTTTTGTGCAACCCGAGACTCTTGACGCATTTTGATGGAATTTCCCTTCAAGAAACTGTTTTGCTTGCTGTATATCTGTATATAGTATAGGCAAAGCATTTTCCTGCCTATGGGTGCACGCTTTCAACTTGACAGACAGGAAACAAAAGTTCCCAAGGGTCTCGTATAACGTCCTTTTCTGATTTTGTGTGATTTAACATTTGGTGATATTTATAGAGGTGGAGGTGTGTTTAACTCAAGGCGCTAAGTCACCCTTTTTCCCGAAAGCATTTTCCGGAAAATCCCTTGAAGACGGACACTGCGACACTGACACTTACACACTGACACTTCCACACTTGCACTTGAACACTGACATTTCTACACTTACACTTGAACACTTACGCTTCCACACTGACACTTGAACACTGACACGTCTATCACTTACGCTTCCACACTGACACTTGAACACTGACACGTCTAATACGTATCCCAGTGTAAGGGTAAAAAGCATCCAAGGGCAAGGATGCAAGTAAAGTAAAAGTATGAGTATGGAAAACTTACACGGGAGATGTCCAAACTTGCACGGGAGATGTCCTAATGAAAAACATTTCCCCACTTTATAAATTCTCTCTTAAAGGCGGAGGGTGGGACGAACAGCGTCAACCGAAAATGCAACAACCGAAAATGCAACCCTCTGCGGAGATCGTGCGTGTCGTGTGCGCGAAATGCAGGCGAGAGTGCGATTTGTCACATGCCCGCGCAACCCTCTGCGGAGATCGTGCGTGTCGAGTGCGCGAAATGCAGGCGAGAGTGCGATTTGCCCGGTGCCCGCGCAACCCTCTGCGGAGATCGTGCGCGTCGAGTGCGCGAAATGCAGGCGAGAGTGCGATTTGACCAGTACCCGCGCAACCCTCTGCGGAGATCGTGCGCGTCGAGTGCGCGAAATGCAGGCGAGTGCGATTGGCGCGGTCCGTGCGCTATAACCCTCTGCGGAGATCGTGCGTGTCGAGTGAGCGAAATGCATGCGAGAGTGCGTTTGGTGCGGTCCGCGCAACCCTCTGCGGGGATCATGCGCGTCGAGTGCGCGAAATGCAGGCCAGAGTGCGATGTGTCCGGTACCCGCGCAATTCTCTGCGGAGATCGTGCGTGTCGAGTGCGCGAAATGCAGGCGAGAGTGCGATTTGTCCTGCACGCGGGCAACCCTCTGCGTAGTACAACTTTAAAGTACGCGGAGTATCTGGGGAGCTGGAAGATGAGAACTGGCGACTTACAACTTTAGTGCGTGGAGTATCTGGGGAGCTGGAAGATGAGAACTGGCGACTTTGTAGTAC